ACAAAACAAAACAAAAAAAAAAAAAAAAAAAAAACAAAAAACCAAAAAAAAAAAAAAAAAAAAAAAAAAAAATACTGAGAATGCTAAAAGTTTTCGAAAATAGACCTAATTCGTGGTGGTCAAATGTTTTCCATTTCATACCACGTGTCATTCTCTAGAATATCATTTCTTTGTTTAACGGTCAGTGGGCATAAAAAGATATATAGATACAGCTCTAGGGAATGAAAGTTGGTCTGAAATGGGAAATCATTCCACCACGACGAATTAGATCTATTTAAGTAAATTTCCTTTTCCCCTTTACCGTTGAGTAGAGATCTCCGGCACTCTTCATGCCCAAATAGTGTCCAGATTTCACACCTTTGATTCTTACCAAACCCGTGCCAACAGAACTGATTTCAAGTTGGACTGAAACTAAAAAAAAAAATGGTGCTATTCAACTCCGGTTCATTAGCCAAACACAGATAGGACACACTCAAATGACTAGGGGATTTGCGGTACAAACTTAAAACTACTCTTTGGCTTGATTTCGATTGAATGCTTTGTGTTTTAACAGTAAGCGATAAGCATTAACAAAATACGAAGCAGTAGCAAGAAGTGTATATATGTATTAAGAAGTGTATATATTTCGGCTGGCTTGTTACCCACTTAATGAAAATAAAAGTTGAAACTACCCTTTAGCTTGTTTTCGATTGAATGCTTTGTGTTTTAACATAGTAAGCGATAAATATTAACAAAATACGCAGCAGTAGCAAGAATTGTATATATATATATCAGTTCGGCTGGCGTGTTACCCTCTTAGTGAAAAAAAGTTTCTATCTAAAGGTCTAGTAATGCCTCTCATAGAACTTACAAATTCAGAGGACCGGCACTTAACATGTTCTATCCCGCCGTTGTCAAGGTGCTTACCATACGGATTGCTGCAGTTTACAGTGCCACTGACTTTGCCATTCCGGTCGATCTGCAGAAACATTCGAGTCCTGCTCAACAATTTTGTTCGTGTTGTAATCGAGGTGGACAGTCTAGCACCTGTTGATTGTCTTGTTTTCAAATCCTTGATGGGTTGTGCATCTCCTTGTTGGCTCTTGTTCTTGTACAATGTTAGCAGTTCCATACTCACGAGGAGAGCAAAACACATCTTAAAAAGCTGCAATTACAAAAATGTCCAAAATGTGAGCTATTGTCACGCATTGTTTTCTTAACATTCCCAAGTGATACCAAAAGTGGTCAATCAGACCATAGTTAAAGTTAACTATGATCGGACTGACTACCGTGAGAAATTTGTTGGGAAAAGATGACAACAGGGGTGCTTACCATTTAAACCGATCCAAAATTCCGATTGGAAATTCATTTGCTAATGGAAAGAAAAGAGCGGGAAACTTTGGCTTTCGAAAAATGGTACACGCGTCTACCCGAAGAAAACCAAAAAGAGCGGGAAAAGTGGATTACGTCAATCGGAAGACCGTGTCTCCAGTAACTTTCCAATCGGAATGACACATACCATTTTCCAACCGAAATTTCGGGGTTTTTTTCGGGTAAATGGTAAGCACCCCAGATTTCATCTTCATCGTCTCCTATACGGGACGACAAGGATTATCTCGTGCACTGCCTTCAACCTTTTTTTCTTACCTTTAGACTGAACATGCTTCTGATATAGTACTCTGGGTAACTTTGCTCCAACTTCACACTAATTACTTCACTGCTCACGAATACTTATGTAGGCAAGTTTATTTCAAAACTGATTAAGGCGCGTCGATGGAAATCCTTTTATAAGATTTCCCCCCCAGATGGAAAAAATGGAACTTTTAAAACTTTTTTCCTTCAAAGCCCACGCTTTCTTCCTGTTAATTAAGTTTTAAAAGTTTTTCAACTTTCAGCGATGCAATTATTTCATCAAAAAATGTGGGTATCGAAATTAAGTCAAAAGTTATTTTGCAAGATGAACCACTAGTCATATCAATTGTTAACAAGAAAAACCACAACCTGAATCCTTTGCGTATTAATATATGCATCAATTGAGGATTATATCTCTTCTTAATGGGTAAACACGTCACGCATTGGATAGATTTTGTTGCAAACGTCACATTTCCTAACGGAAATTATATATTTTCATTTTTAGATGTTGCAAATGCATTTTGAAGGCCACTCAAAGATCTGCTAAGAACTTTCTTAATTTTCTTTTCTTTTCTTTTCTTTTCTTGGGAACACACTGATTGAGTACACTCTCCTTTTAAATGGAACAATGTTTTTGGTGAACGGACTTTGTCAATTTTTTAAGTTAGGGGCTGTTTTAAGTGCTAAGAATACGCAGGTGCTAAAAATAATCAGTGATTGGAGTTGTTTATGATTAAAGCTACATCGCCGCCATGCTTTTTTTATCTGTATATTTGACGACGCCCACGAAACGAGTTACTTCCGCCTCTATATTGCATGACTCTCTTGTTCAAGCAGTTCTCGTACACGTTCAAAGATATGGCCAGGTTCATGTTTAACTTTAGTCATTCTTTACGAGATCGGTGCAATAGAGAATAGTTAAAATGTTCACTGGCTTTCGCTGACCATGCCGGCATGCTCGAATGCAATGTGTATAATGAAACTCTCGAGCACACCAATCAACACCAGGAACATGCAGTCTAGGTGTGATCACTACATCCTCAATCAGTGATGACATCAGCAGATGTAATTAATGACCTGGTTATTATTATGACACATTTTGATATTGTTCACGTGGTCAGACTTACCTAGTACAACAAACTGAAAAAGGTGCATTTTTTGAGTATCAATAAACAATCTTAACTCTTCAATCTTAAATGTCATATTGAGATTTTGTACTGACAAAGAAATCGTAAAACAAAATTTGGCAGGAAATGTCAAGGAATAGAAATAATAAATAACAATGGTCGAGATTTCATTTAAGTAAACATATTTTGTCTATACAAAAAGAGAGAGAGAGTAATAATTATTTAAAATGATAACTTAGGCTTTAAGAAATACTCAGGTTTCTTTAAAAAAATGGTTTGCAGAGCAAGCTAAAGAGAAAGAGATATAGATCAAAATTGCTCTGACTCTAATTCGTGTATTACTAAATACGATTTTGATAAAAGACACAAAGCAATTATTGATAATTAATTTTAGCTTCATTTGTCATGTGACAGGAACACATCTTTCAGCCAATCAAAATTCTTTTTCTTCACGTGTACTTCATCAAGGTCAGTGTCGTCTGTGTCCATGAACGGCATCTCCTGCGCTTCTTTTATTTGTTGACTCTTGAGGACAACAGGACCTGTTGCCTCAGTTTCTGATTCACTATCCTCATCAACCATGCTATCGTCTGTAAGTGAGCAGAAAAAAGAGAAAGAGAGAATGGAAAGAAAAGCTTAGGCAATTATGCTATCCCGGAAGTACATATACCGAAAGAAAGGGGCCGAGAGGAATGGGAAAGGATAGAAGAAAGGTGAAAAAAATGGGATGAAAGGAAGCGGATGTTGTAAGCCAAGCAAGAAGGAAAATAAGAATCACGACGAGTGTCTCAGGAGTAGAAAAATAAATCAAAGGGAGTAAGAAAGGAAATGCAAAAAACATTTTGACAGTTGGAAACATAGTTTAGCTTTAGATTAGTGAAGACAAAATTAGTGAAAAAGTAGAAGCTCTAACTCACCATCATCTGCACCTTGCTTGTCGGTATTTGTGCCATCATTTCTGCATCAAAAAACAAAAAACAAAAAAAAAACCAGGAAGTGAAAAAAAGGTAATAATAATAATAACAATAATAATAATAATAATAATAACAATTAATAATAATAATAACAATTAATGTCAATAGCAAGGTTCCTGCATAGCGTAGCCCAAGAGGATATGAAGTATTTCGTACTCTCTTGCGTAGCCCCATAAGAGCGTTTAATCGTCGACGCTTTCCTGCCTTTCCTCGCCCACTCCCATAATGACCGAATTTAACAAGAAAAGTGTCTTCGATATTTACCTATCGTCTTCTTTGGAAACCAGCATTGACTTTAGGAACGATGAACACAAGGTGGAGACAGGAGGAAGAACATGCGATGGTATTCTCATCATCTAGTTAAAAATGAAAATAAGATATGTATTTTTTGGTGCTTTGATCAAGGAGAGGTTTTTCCTTTTTTTTCAGGAACCCCCTTCTCCAACATACTATCTTATCCAATAACTTTTCATGGCAGGATTTATTTCTAATTGGTTTCAGTGGTGAAAATCGTTGAGAAATTTTTTTTCCCTTTATTTTAGCGGTTTTTGCTAGCAATTGGACCCAAAAATACGTTCACAACTCAAAACTTTTATATAGAGGTTTTTTATTAAGGGTCGGGAATCAGAGAAAGCTCCAGTAACTGAGAAAAAAACCCCGGCTTAAACTACCACTAATAGCTTTGTGAATTGTAAAATGTTCATTTGGGTCCCGCCAGGACTTTTCAGGAGTTTGTCATATTCTCCTATTAATTTCAAAACTAAATGAAAACCCTTCACAGGGATGCCGTAGACCTGATTATTTGGCTGTTCTTACCTCACGAATAGCAGCAGCTTTGGGATCTCCTTGAACAACTTTACCAAGAGGTTGGACAGAAGTTGACTCTCCAACTAGAATAAGCGTAACAAGAATGGGTAACAATTAATGAGGTAATCATAATGTCAAACGAGAAGCACCTAATCTAATTTTTTTTAAGGTTTGATAAAATGACCACTGTATGGAAAAGTTTTCCAATGATTATGAAATTCTCCAATAAAAATACCACAGGAAGCCCAGAATCGCGTGTTTAATGATACAATGATGGAAGGGGGAGGGAAAAAATCCAACTCCAATGTACCCAATCTCGCACCCAGAGCCCACGTTCCTCTCAGTGAGCACTGGAAAATGAGAGGTGCGTTTCTCGGTGCTGAACAAGAGGAACGTGGACTCTGGGTACGAGATTGGAATGGAACCTTCTCATAATCATTAAGATTTGTCAAGGTTCAATTGTTTTTAATTATTAATTCAATGCATGGTCCACCTACCACTCTTTGAGGGCATCCCAAAAATATTAAAGAAATCTTGCTTAGCAGAAGAGTCATCTTCCACAACCTGTAAATATATTAATTTATAATGCATTAGGAATGATTCCATATTAGGAATGATTCCATATTAGGAATGATTCCATATTAGGAATGATTCCATATTAGGAATGATTCCATATTAGGAATGATTCCATATTAGGAATTATTCTATATTAGGAATTATTCCATATTAGGAAATTATTATTACCATCCAGAAAAACTTACACTGGGCACAGAGGTTCGTTCACGCTCATCATTTTCATCTTCAGTTACAAGAGTAAAGAGTTCCTGTGGAGAGAGATTAAAGAAAAATAATGAAATTGGAGTCATGTACTATAGTTGTACATGGTTGAAGAACTTAAAAAAACGAAACCTAGAGATCCTGGAGATTAAGACAGAGTTAAAAACGACAAGGCTGCTACTTTCGCAATGTTTTTCTTTATCTCTCATTCATGCTAAAAAAACGTTTAGTGTTTCATTCGTGTCTCTTGTGCTTTAAACTTTTCACAAAATTCTGCTAACCTCGAGCAATYCTACTTCGAGGTATTAGCGAAAACGTTAGTTTTTGTGCTGATCAAAATATCATCTCTCTCAACGTTCAGGGCGTTATATCTCAAATACGCATTCCTTAGATTTCCCCAAATTTTGGTATTTTGTTAATCAGCCCCAAAAGAGCCTGTTTATGAAACATTAAGTTTATTGACGCATAAACGTCGAAAGTAGAACCCGTTTTTCTGCCCTGTCGGAGATTAATAATAATAATAATAATAATAATAATAATAATAAATTTAATGAATAACAAAATTACTGGAAATCCAGTATAGTTTACATTGTGGTTTTATAATTTGATGGGTTATATTTGACGTCATTTACTGTCTCTTGCTATAAATAATAAATAATAATAAATAAATTTCTTTATTGGGTAACTAATAAAGTTGAATTTTTTTTTCCAATTTTGCCCATACACTAGTGAATGAATAAATGAATTTTGGTAACCATGCGAATATACCCAAAACACCTGGACACTGAATCATACCGTAAATTATCCTACAACACCAAGAAACCTAACTATGCCAAGAACATGATCCTGCAGCATACCAAAACCTAAACAAGAATAACACTTATCACTGGGGAAAAACCTCCATAGACCCTTTGTTTTGCGCTGTTTCCCCATTTCAGACCACGTGTCATTCCCTAGAGTATCATTTATTTGTTTAACGGTTGCAAATGAGAAGACATATGTATATGGATACAATRCAAACAAAGAATCTAATTGTTAAGAGAATGACGTATTTTGAAATAGAATAAGTTTTTGATGTCTAATGTCATTTTTCTTACCTGAATCCTTGTGCGAAAGAAGAGTTTTGAAAGCGTTATCGGCCTGTCTTGGCTTGATAATGTTGTAACTTTACGGTCAAAACCGGCAGAAAAGACAGGTGCCTTGCATGATACGAATGGCTGAATCGCTACAGGATTAGGCGTTGACGGGTCAAATATATACACTAAAGTAGAAGCAACAGCAGTGATATTAGTATGCAGGAAAATACAAGTAGCTTGATGGATGGACGGGATACAATGTAGAATAAAGCCTTTTCCACACGAAGTCTTAGGCCCCGTCCACACGTATACGAAATTTGTGTATCCGCAATTTTATTTTTTGCGGATACGGGTTGCGTCCACACGTGTCCGGAAATTTTTGTATCCGTACCCGGAAATTTTCGAAAACGTTCTCCACAGTGGAAAATTTCGAATACACTCCGAATACGGATACGTGTGGACGGTCGTATCCGCAAATTCTCGAATACGCTGACGTAAACACGATTTTGCGCAAGCTCAATATGAAAAACTATCTGTCAAAGGGACTAGGCACTAGCGTGCATCAGGGCGGATCAAGAAATTTCCGGATACGTGTGGACAGCGACAACTATTCGAAAACGATTCGAATACGCTGCGTGTGGACGGGGAATTAAAGCTGTGAAAATGAAACGATATTCTCACTGAAAGAAATGACAGCAATGATTTTAATATGCAGGAAAAACCAACAATCTTGACTTTAAGTTCTCTAACAGTGAACAGTGATAGATAGGTTGGGTCGAATACAGTCCTTTGACTAAACGTTGTCGTTTGATCGGCTTCATCCATACGCGCCTAGACCGAAAAGGATCATGGGGATAAATAATTCACAGTTACTAGCTGCCGCATATGTTATCTAACACGTCTTGAGCTCGCTTTTTTCGATCCCATTTAACTTGCTGAAACCATGCCTCGAGCATACGGCGAAGGTTTACACTGGCGAGCAGTTTGGATGACGCAAGTTCTGGGTAATTTAGCCGTTATCCTTTTCGGTCTAGGCGCGTAGGGATGATCCGATCAACGACAACGTTTAGTCAAAGGACTGTATACATTGAAGCCCAACCTCTCCTTTCGGAAAGCTTGGAATGATAAAGACGAACTAGGTTTTTGTGGACGTCAATCAAGGCATTTTAATGACATTCCATGGTCTCGTGCCCTAAAAAAGCGTCGTGTTTTTCATCTAAACTATCAACTTACTACAAATTACACTTATTGCTATAAATGAAATGTCACAGTGGCGTAGCTAACGCGCGCGTTTTTGGCGCCAAAGTTTCTGCCAAAACCACACTAACTTCATCAACATAAACCATGAAGGAAACCTTTTAGTTGCAAAGGCCTGACTGTTCTCGAAGTACTAAGGCACGGACACACGGTGCAACGTTGCAAAGTTGCTGAAGTGAGGATAGTTTTCTACTTCAGCAACGTTGTGTGCAACAAATTGCGTCGTGTGTCATGGCTCGCAACATCAATTGCATGTAACATTGCGCGCAATGCTACACCGTGTGTCCGTAGCTTTAGGCCAACTTTTCTAAGCTAAGATCCCTAAAATGAATCGGGATGATGAAACAAACTTACAGTGAGTCTTTTTGTCAAAATTGACGAAAGCAGCAAAGTGTTTTGTGTTCGGATCAGAAATCAAGTGACCCACGTTCGCCTCTATAGTCCACAACACTAATAAGAAACAAAAAAATATATTGAAAAAATATTAGTATATAAGTAAAGTCACAAAATATTACTAATTTAGGTACCCCCTCCCCCGTCAAGGGCTTCTAGAAATGCTGGATACTGGGTGCCTCTAGCGACTACTCGTATACAGTAATATATTGATAGTATACTTTCAAATAAATATGGGAAGCACGGGTAGCGTAGCGGTGAGAGTGCTCGCCTCTTACCAAGGCGACCCGGGTTCGATATCAGACTCATATGTGAGTAGAGTTTGTAGTTCGTTCTCTCCTGTGCTTCGAGGGTTTTTCTTCAGGTTCTCTGGTTTTCCTCCCTCCACAAAAATCAACTCCTAAATTCAAATTCAATCAAGGAACGAGGGCCACAGGTTTTTCAACCACTGGCTAACGAAGTTTTACCTTCGTAAAAACGAGGACTATTAACTTCTTCCATAATCATGAAGGTAATTTTGAATACGAATTTTAGTAGTACACTTCCAGTGAGATTCAATAGCCAGCTTCTGAGATGCTTCGCTTGTCAAGCACAAAGGATTCAATGTAAGGCTTCGTGCATAATGCTCAGTGATTCGTGACAGGAGAAAAGAAGAAATTTAATTGAGCACGTACAGTAGCTTTGTACTGAAACTTTTGCGTACAATAAGATAACCATATGTCGGAAGTAATAGTAGTGAGCTTTTTTTTTTGAACTCATGCCTTGCCATTCACATCTTACCAGAACAGGTGAGCAGGTTCCATACAATCAAATAATGTGCTGTAGATACCATCAGGTAGTGCGAGGAACTTTTAAATCCAAATGCAGTAAACCTGCAGACGAACGAAAGAAATGATAAAGATAAACAAAAACAATATACTCAGCAATGACGTCTCTTTTTTTGGTGCCATGCGCTATGATGTTGCTGTCTTTGTTGTTCAAGCTTGATAAGCCTACTTCACCTTATTTTATCATCTGGGAAGGGCAGATGTAGAGTTTTCTGTAGTACATTAGCGTTTGGGGTCCACAGTGTTATCACCTAAATAACAACAAAGAATGGAAAATAAATTTGTTTTAAAGTAAAATATGTGAACTGTGGTTTGTGTGTCTAGTGAGGGGGAGGAGAGGGTGTTGTAGGATGTATTGTATT